TGAGATTTGTGATTAGGAACCTGATAGATGTTGATGATGTCTCCTAAGCAATGGCGCCAGAAAATTTTCCTGATTGCTTGTATCTGCGTTGGTATTTCCCTGAAGAGGAGAGGATGATGCAGCACAGCAACGGTAAGTATTTCCCTCAGTTATGAAACCAAGGTTATCAATCCAGTAGGAGAACCAATCAACACTATGTAAACGGTAGTTGCACACAAAGAACAAATACTTGCAACCCAACACGTAAGAGGGGTTGTCAATCCCTCCACGTTAAAAAGATAGATAAAATTGTATGAGATTGGATTAATAGATCTAGCAAAAACACAAAATAAAATAAGTAAAGAAAAATGGAAACAAGGTATTTTTGATTTTTTGGAATAAAAGATCTGAAAACAATATGATAAAAGATAGATTCGAGGGCCGTAGATTTCAGTAGTGACTTCTCTCAAGAAAATAGCATACGGTGGGTAGACAAATTACTGTTGGGCAATTGATAGAAGAGTAAATAATTATGACGATATCCAAGGTAATGATCACGTATATAGGCATCACTACCAAGATTAGTAGACCGACTCCTGCCTGCATCTACTACTATTACTCCACACATCGACCGCTATCCAGGATGCATCTAGTGTATCAAGTTCATGGAGAAACAGAGTAATGCAATAAGAACGATGACATGATGTAGAAAAGATCTATTCATGTAGGAATAGACATCATATTTTTATCCTTAATAGTAACAATACATGCGTGCCTCGTTACCCCTGGGTGAAGACACCGCAAGATTGAACCCATCACAAAGCACATTTTCCCATTGCAAGAGAAATCAATCTAGTTGGCATAACTAAACCAAAGTTTCGGAGAATAAATACGAGGCTATACTAATCATGCATATAAGAGATAAAAAAACTCAAATAAAATTCATAGATAGATCTGATCATAAACTCGTACTTCATCGGATCCCAACAAACACACCACAAAAAGTCATTACATCAAATAGATCTCCAAGAACATCGAGGAGAATATTGTATTGAGAATCAAAAAGAGAGAAGAAGCCATCTAGCTACTGCCTATGGACCCGTAGATCTATGGTGAACTACTCACGCATCATCGAAGGAGCACCAATGACGATGATGAACCCCTCTGTGATCGTGTTCCCCTCCGGCAAAGTGCCGGAATAGGGCTCTATATTGGATCTTGCGTTTTTGGAACTTGCGGCGGTTGGAATTGTGTTTCGACGACTCCTCTAGGGTTTCTGGAATATCTGGGTATTTATAGAGCTCAGAGGCAGTCACTGGTATAGAGAGGTGCTATACAAACAGTTTTTAACCCGTTTCCATGGCGGCGTTCTGAACCGTCACCTAGTGAGTGACTGCAATAGGGGGGGGGGGTCCTTCCCACACGACCCAGAAACCGCCGGGGATAGACCCTCCAGGCACACACGCTCGGCAAAATAAGGTCATGCGCGACCGGCGAGCGAT